ATACTAGGCTTGCCTACTCATTACTAGAGAGCGGATTTTATGAAATTTGCATATCCGATATTTTTTGCATATAAGTCTTGATATTTAATTTGTGAACGAATCATGCTAATTAAAAATAAATACAGCTATAAAAAAAATTGCATATTTGCATATATTTGCCTTCTGCTGCATATTTTACGTAACGGGTGCATATTTTGCATTTTTATCAATTTTTGTGCTACTTTGAAAATTTATCCTATTATTTTTCATTTTTCTAGACCGGTAAGTACGCAGTTTTTCTATTTACAAATACATACTAGAGAATCACAGGAAAAACTTTTTGTTACAATATTTCGAAAAATATTTAAAAACAAATTGTTACCAAAATAGTAATTAAACAGTTGATTACCGCTATTTTTTAATTTGTTCTGTTTGTATTTATTTTTTAGTAAAAGTGTGATCTATGTGTTAGTGTGATTTATGTGTTAGTGAGATATAATTAAACACTTTGCAATGTGATTTATGTATTTTTTGTAATAAAACGTAAGCTCGGGAAACCTGTTTTTGTGATTTGTAAATAAATTTAGTTCGCTTATTCAGCTTTTTTTTTAATTTTTGGAGCATATGCAACTGCATATCTCTGCATATGTTAAGAAAGTTACTGCATATTTGCATAAATTTGGTACATATCATATGATCATATTTCCCAAAATTTTGCTGCATATTTTCCGCTCTCTACTCATTACTGTCTATTTTCTTAGAGGGTATATCATTTGCCAAAATCAGTCTTATCTCAGTAAATACTAGCCCCGCCCACCCACCCTCTACTTTCTTGGAGCGTATGTGATTTGCCAAAATCAGTCTTACCTCAGCAAGTACTAGGCCCGCCCACCCTCCCTCTTTTCATGCTGGCGACTAATTTTATTTCTGTTCAGTATAAAATCATTCATTTCATTTAGTTCGGATCAAATCAATCAATCACTGAGAAGGAGACAGGGTGGGTGGGTGGGGCTAATTATGTTCTTCTGTCGAGTGGGAGTGGAATCTTATAACAAAACTTATGTAATAAACGAAGCCGAAAATTATTTCTGGATATCGAAAACTACAAGAAAATGTCTTCAACGGATTTTCGGAAATAGTTGAAAAATGGTGGAAAACGTCAAAAGTGCCAAAGACAGATTTGTTTTATCAAATACTAGCCTTGCCTACTCACTGTCTTTTTTCTTAGAGGGTATATCATTTGCCAAAATCAGTCTTATCTCAGTAAATACTAGCCCCGCCCACCCACCCTCTACTTTCTTGGAGCGTATGTGATTTGCCAAAATCAGTCTTACCTCAGCAAGTACTAGGCCCGCCCACCCTCCCTCTTCTCATTCTGGCGACTCATTTTATTTCTGTTCAGAATAAAATCATTCATTTCATTTAGTTCGGATCAAATCAATCACAGATAAAGAGACAGGGTGGTCGGGTGGGGCTAATTATGTTCTTCTGTCGAGTGGGAGTGGAAACTTATAACAAAACTACAAGAAAATGTCTTCAACCGATTTTCGGAAATAGTTGAAAAATGTTGGAAAACGATAGGAAAGAATTACTGACAGCCATGCAAGAGCTAGAAATACCAAATAAGATGATTAAACTTACTGGAATGTCGATAGAAAACACAAGAAACCGTATAAGAAGTAATGGAATACTATCCCAATCATTCCTAGTAACCACCGGTTTACGACAAGGAGACCCCATGTCAGCCACTCTTTTCAATCTAGCACTGGAAGTAATAATTAGAAGAAGCGGAATATGATAAAAGACACCAGAATCTAGCGTTTCCAAATGACCTAAGGTTCGTAACGAGAACAAAAAGCGAATTAAAGAAAATGACAGCTAACCTTATCACAGAAGCAAAACGGATGGGACTAACGATAAACGAAGAGAAGACAAAACTAATGAAAATGACGAACAAAGAAGACTCACAAAAAACATTGAAGATAGCCGCGGAAGGTGGAACTACATATGAGTTTGAAGAAGTAAAAAAGTTTAAATGCTTAGCAGTAGTAATCACCAATAAGAACAAAATGAGAGAAGGGATAGAAGAACCCATTATTAAAGGTAGTACCTTATGAACTTAGGAAGACTAAACAGGTTCCTTGGAGCCAAAAATGTAACACGACAGACGAAGAAACAAGTATACAAAACAATGACAAGACCTACAGTACTATATGTCTGTGAATCTTGGACTCTAACAAAAAAATGGGAACAGAGATTAGAGATTGAGGAACGAAAAATACTACGGAAGATATATGGAGGTATCAAGGAACAAGAACCATGGAGAAGACGAACAAATAAGGAAGTAGAAGAAGTACATGGAGAACCGAAAATTACCAAGGCATATAGGAAGAGCATCTGAGGATATAACTATCGGGAAAGTGTTGCACCGTCTACAAGGTGGAAAGAAAAAGAAAGGATGACCAAAACTGAGACGGCTGGAAGAGTGAAAAGGGATCTTCGAGAAATGGGTATCGAACATTGGAAAAGCAAAGCAGCCAACCGCACCCAATGGAGAGCCATCGTCAGAAAAGCCCAGGGCCTTCAAAACTTGCAGTGCTAATATATATAATAACTGTTTTTCGTCATGGACAAAAAAAAAACGATCTAACAGAACGCGAAAATGGACAGATTAAGGCACACTATGACCAAGGTTTGAATTTTGCGGAAATCGGAAGAAAGATTGGAAGAAATCGGACCACAATCTCCAAATTTCTAAGGAAGAAATACAGTGAAAATGGACGACAAAATTGTGGAAGAAAAGAAAAACTCACTGAACGTGCATAAAGATAACATGTCGTCCCTAAGGATAAAGACGACCCTAGGACTTCCTGTTCACAAAAGAACAGTTTTGCGAATACTGTCAAATGACAAAAATGTTAAAGATGGTGTATTGATGGTCCTGATGGTTTTCGATATTATTGGCACGATTTACGGAAAGAACCTAAGTACTTGTCTGGGCTGCCTTTAGTGGTTTAGGAAATACTAACTTAGCATTTATTTCAAATCGAATGGCCTTTCTAGATTACCAAGATGTGTTGGAAGTGCACCTCAAACCACATTTGAACCTATTTCAAGACAACAAAGTGATTTTTCAACAAGATAATGCGTCAATTCATGTATCTAATTCATTGGAAACGTGGTTTTAACGAGAAAATATAGCTTTGCTGCCATGGCCTACGAAAAGTCCAGATCTCAACCCTATTGAGAATGTATGGTATTCTCTTGTACGAGAGGTCACAAAGATGCAACAGTTAATGAATTGAAAGATGATATCTTGAGAATTTGGATGTCAATTACCAGAGTTAGGCACAGCCGAAGTGATGTGCAATCAACCAGACAAATATTAGAAACGACGACGCGACCTAAGGCGATAAATTTAACTGGCCGACTGTGTACTCTCAACCACGTCACACCCTCAGTGGCGTTTAAAGCAAATCAGTGTTTATCTAATCAAGATCATCACGAAAATTGTGATGTTGAACAGTCATCTTTAATTTTTAAAGCATTTTAACATCTAGAAGAACTCGTATAACTGAGGAAAATCGAAAAAATGGAGCAATTATTATTAAAAATTCCCGAAGTTATAGGCCACAGCTGCAATAGCGCTGGCGATCGGACGGCACTGAGTATCACTTCGACGATGCCAAAGTGTGTCAATTACATTTCTATGAAGAAATGCATCTACAATCTGATAGTAGCAGGTGGTAAATACATTGGTATTAAACTAGTTTTCATCTAGTTAGTTAGTTCTCTTTTGAAACGGGATAATAATTTGTCACAGTAAATCTGTTAACAAAATTACTTATTTTCAATTAATTTCGTTCAGTTTTGTGGAAGTAGAATGTACAATCGATAAGTTCGAGTGTTTAATTTTTTTTTCGTTAAAAAAGTATAATTCGTTATATTTACTAGATAAAGCTGGTTTTCGTTGACTCGCGTTGAAAATAATTGATGCTGATCACGTACAGATAGCAAGTTTATTTTAGAACCACGCTTGCTATTACCTTATTAAAAATTAAACTTAAACTGAAACTAACTCTTTCATGCCTCTTGAGCACAGTTTCAGTTTCGTTTGCAATGTTTCTACAATCACAAGAAAATTTGAAGATGCAGTATTTTTATAAAAACTTTATTAATTGAGATGCGAGTACTTGAGTACTACTGAGGTACACACGACCTCTAAAATCGCAATTAGTCAATAATAATAAAGTAGGAATTCACTTTGTCGCTGATAATAAAACCCATTGTCTTTAAAAATAAATGACATATTTTAGATTCTTGAGTTATCACGATTCATGGATTTAGAGAATTAATATAATTTGTAGTACTGCAGTTTTGATATTAAATTAGGATGAATAGTGTTTACCAAAGAAGCATCAAGAACGTCACAATAAGTGAAAAAGTCTACATGACGGTCATTTTGTTTTTAAAAATAGTAATAAATTAATTTAAAAGAAACTGTATTTGTAAAGACAAAATTTCCAGAGGCAGTGATTAATCACAGCGATTGATGTTATAAAACAAACACACCTGCATGTTCGAAGCAGACAGCTGATAATTGTCACATACTTCAAAATTTAGCGTCATGATTTTTCATTATCATATCGTCATTTTTTCCGCAATTACTGAAATATGCAGACATTTTAACGCTCATAAGTTTTACATGCTTATGTGTTCAAAAGGACAAACTTCCAACAAAGAAATTTTATTTGCGATGTTAGCTCCAAATCCAACCCGAATTTCGCTTGACATGCAATTTAATTAATGTTAAATTTTCATGACTCGATTACAAACTATCACACCATATTATCACCACATTTGAATCTAAATACGTTGTGCGTTTTGTTTGGCACTCTTATCTACAAAAATAATTGGAAGAACGTACGAACTAATTAAAAATTTAATTATAAAAGAAAATTTATGTTCGAAAAAATATATATTATTCAGGTGCTACGAAATATGAAACAAGACTCACTTACCATTAATGGAGACACCGACAATAAAAACGGCTAATGTAGCTAACGTTTTGCCCAAACTATAGGGCACTTTATTCCAGTATTTACTAATTACATCATTATAATTTTCAGTCCAGGTTACCGCCATTGGGTCTGCGGTCCAGCCATTTTGCTGTTGTTTTTCAGACTTCTTTCGTTTATTACCCATGTTTCTAAAATCAAACAAATTACTGGCAAAAATTCGGGTACCTCAGGTTTTTATTTCCGCACTCTTTCAAATCATTGGTGATAATAATTCAGGGAGTGAATGACACTTGTCTTATATTTTATCTGTTAAGAACACCTGTACTCTCTATGGTGAATGGAAGGTCTACAAACATATAAACAAAGGAATGTCCAATTAGAGATAATATCCAGACTAAATATTTTGTGTCATATCAACTTTTGATAAATTATTGTATTAGTATCTAAGCAACTGTGTTTTAATCAGTAAGGCGATGTAGACAAAGCTCAACTATGTTTTAAAAAAGAGAAGCACACCTGCATTTATTTCATAAACGCGTTTTATCTAATGTAAAATCGATCCGTACCGACAATGTATGTGCCCGATTATAACATAGTAATAATACGTTATAAAAAAAGATAAAGAAAGGATACTATGAATGAAATGAGCAAAAAGTTTTTGTAGCTCAAAAGAAAATATCTTTAGCAGATGATCCTATAAAGTTCTGCCATCCATTTCTAGTATTCGTTATTTTGTCTGGTAACAGTCACAAAAGAAGCGAAGCTATTATTATTTGGTGTGGGTATTATATGAAACGATATAAAAAATAAAGGCAGAGCCAAACATGGCTATAATAATGACGTGATATCAATTTTGATGATATTCATTTGTTAACTTTAGTACAATATTTTAAACAAAAAATTGCTTGATTCCAACAATATTCATAATGCCTATCTAAACACAATTTACAAAATTAGTAGCAGGAATTAACAACAATAAATTAAAGCTCCTAATCGACACGTGTTTTAAATAGGCAACTAATTTTCGAAGCTGTAATGTGAGTAAAAACCTGAATCGAATTTCAATTCATTTAAAATTTAGATTTTCAAATTTTAACATTTATGGGTTGGCAAACTGTTTCCATTATATTAAAATGGATATAAATTTTGCGTCGCAAAAACAGTAAATTGTGTTGATCTGATTTTTAAAACATTGCATTGGCTGTTTGAATATCGTTTACAAAACGAACGTAATAATACAAATAAGTGAGATTGAATGCGAGTATTTTTCAAACAAGATAAAAATCAATACAAAGTAAATATTTTATTTATAAAGATGTATACACATATCATGCAGTTTGACAAAATTACACAATATAGGCATACTAGTCCAACTTTATTCCCCACACTGTTTTTTTTATCTTTAGTCGTCGATAAGAAAATTTTAGCCACTCTAATATTAATAAAAACAACAATTATGTATATATACCTACATTTTACAGAAAATAATGCGCTAAATTATTATCTGGGTACCTGTTTCACTAGAAAGAACCACACATCACGTATTCTCAGCACAAGCAAAGCAGACAATAAATCTCTTCTTTAACAATAACTCTATCAATATTAATAACACAATCATAATGCCTTTCTTAGAGCAGACAAGACATAATTTAACAATTTAACAATTTAAATTTGAAACAGGGAAGCATGTGGACGCTGTCGGTGTATATGTATGCCGCGCCATCTCTAAACCAGTAGACGAACTGAGGCAGCGTTTTATTGATCATATTATACGCAGTACACTGAAATCTTGCACTTGCCACTGCATCGAATAGATGCCCCTACCAAGTCTACATCAAGTAGTGAAAGATTTTAGCACCTATGAATTTCGAGACTTTATTTTAATTCTGAGCTTTACTGATGAAAATTAAGCTATTAAGTTCCACCTAGAAAAAAAAATAAATCTTCCAATATGATTATAATTTGTTAATTTGCAGACACAATTTATGAAAGAAATAGGTGATGTGAAAATTTTGTTTTAAAAAACAACAATCTAGACTCTAGGCTTCACAAAAATGAAGAAATATCACTCAAACTATGACACCATAAGGTCGAAACATCAATACTTATTAATGTTTCGCTTAAACAAAAACAGAGCTAATAATATTAGCAAAAATAATGACCCAAAAATTGATGACAGGGTTAATATTTAATAATAATATTTTTATTTTAATTATTGATTAATACACGTCAACAGAGCAGAGTCGAGTGTTAAATCAATAAAATATAAATATATGAACTTATTGTTAAAAAGCCACACAAAAATAACGTCTTAGAAACGAATTAATTTTTTCTCGCATCTCTTTTCTCTTGAATTTTGTGTGTTTTAGTATGTTTTAGATGTGAAGATGTGTTTTCCTACTTCTTTTTTCCTTATTCTCCGAACAATTTTTATTAGCATATTGATTTAGTCTAGCGTTATTGGATTTCACATTACTTGTTATTACTTTGAGCCAAAAAAAATGCCTGCTTATAAAACAACTTTTGGCAAACACGATATACAGAATGAGTCACTAAACGCGCGTTTCTCGATAACTCACTAATTATTAGAAACAGAAAAAAAGTCAAAGACCACTGTTGTACGGTTCTTTCAAGACTATACTCAGTGTAATACAACTTATTTTTTAAATAAAACACCCTATATATTTTTACATATTTTAATTTACTTCTTCCTAGGTTTCATAATCATCATTAATTTTTTGAACTACTATGCAACGTTGCCACGTCTTTCCCATTTTCTTGAATTTTTTAACAATAGAAGATTTGACAAAAAATCGCAAAAGGGTTATTTTTAAAATTTGCGTCACAACATTTTGTGGGGAAACAAAGTAAGATATGCGCGTTGTTGTGGTTTATATGAGATTAATTTTTCATTTACAGAGTGTTTATATTAATATTTCAGTTTTTTCAAATAGAATACCCTATATTTTATTGCTGCATCTCATTCTACTTTTCGTTCTCTTTCTTTTTTGCTATTTAAAGTTGAACTACCGCGATTTTTTACTTTTTTTAAGCGACACGTCAACATACTATAAAAATGAAGACAAAAATAGAGTATGATACAGGAATAAAATACATACAGGGTGTTCCATTCAAAAACCTGAAATATCGATTATTGAAAATTGTAAACTTTAATTTTTTTATAAACACTGTATACTAAAATTTTATTTAGTTGATATCTCATGAAAGCACGTACTTTATTTATCTTTCCACGCAATATTGTAAAACAGACTTTAAAAAATAATTCTACTGCGATTTTTTTTATGAAAATTTCCATTGCCAAAAAATTTCAAGAAAAATTTAATAACGTGTCAACGTCAATTTCAAAAGTAAGTTGCGGTTGTAAAACCTACAAAGATGTGAAAACATATAGTGTTGCTTAAAAAAAAAAAACTAAGTTGTGTGTTACGCCTTAAAACCAAAAAATTTAAAAGTATAGTCTTTGGTCTTTGCCTTTTTTTCTCTGTGTAATAATTAATAAGACATCGAGAACAACGCACTTAGTGACTCACCCTGTATATTATGAACACAAGGATAAATTTTTCTGTTTCATCTCACTAAGATCATTGACTTGTTTTTCATATTATATTTACTTCTCGAGCGGAAGTGAAGGAAGTTTTGTAATCGAGTCCGTCGGCCGACTCCCTGTTAAGTTTTTACCAGAAACTCCCAGATTTTTGGAAAATAAAAATTATAAATTAAAATACAACATTTTACATTTTTTGCACCGAATGCTTTGAAATCTTGCAGATGGTTTAAACTTATGATAAGCATAATAAATTTTTAATCAAAATATATTTATTTGTCCCCTCCAAAAAATGATGACGTCAACTTAAAATTTTGCCGAATAAATCTATATGTCTATATTTTTTGAATTGTGAATTTATTTTATTTATTTAACCAGAAACTCCAAAATCGAATGCTTTGAAATCTTGTAGATGTTTTAAAGCATAAATTATAAGCATGGTAAATTTTTGATCAAAATGCTCATCCCCCCCTAAACAATTTATAACGTTACCTCAAAATTTTGCCAAATAAAGCCTTTATACAACAATTTCTCGATTTTTCAATTTTTCGATATTTTAGTTTTGAAATTTATCAGTTTCTTTATTCCATAACTTCTTGATTTTTCAATTTCTCGATTTTCAATTTTTCAATATTTTAGGGTTGCGATTTTTCAATTCTTCGATTCTTCAATTTCACAATTCTTCTAATTTTCGATTTTTCGACTTCTCGGTCTTACATTTTTCCGTTTTTGAATTTTTCCATTTTACAAAATTGTTAATTATTCTATTTGCCAATTTTTGGGCATTTAAATTTTTCGATTTTTTTTAATTTTGAATTTTTCAGTAAACTTGTAAACTTTCCGACTTCTGGAATTTTCAATTTCTCGATCTTCTGAAGTTTTGTTTCTCCATGTTTCAGTTTTTAGTCACTTCAGTTTGAAAAATTTTCCCGTTTTTCAAATTTTGGATCTTTCGATTTTTCAATATTTTGATTTTTACAATTCAGATTTTTCAATTTCTGGAATTTTCAGTTTTTCGATTCGTCAATTTTCAGATATTTCAATTTTTTTAAATTCATATTTTTTAATTTCTCAATTTATCATTTTTTTAATTTTCCAATGTACCTATTTATTTTTCAGTTTTTTGAATTTTTAAATTTTTGATTTTTCATGGCTTTTTTGAATTTTACATTTTTTATATTTCACGATTTTTTGATTTGATTTCTTGACATCTTGGTTTTTTTAAAATTTTCATCGTTCTAGATTTCTCGATTTTTCAAGTTTTCCTTTTCTCAATTTTTAAACATTTCAACCTTGGAAATTTTTCATTTCCGAGAAATTTTCGGTTTTTCAATCATAAGTGTACAAAATATGATAATTCTATACTTGTGATTTACCACTGCAATAATATTTTTAGATTTGCTTATACGGGGTGTCTCAAAAAAATTTATAATAAAAAATAATTAATTAGTAAATTTGTTTTAGAGAATAAATCAAGAATCACAAAATTGAATATTTTGAAATCTTGCAGACGTTTGCAAATTATTGCAAGCATCTCAAACTTTTATTCAAGGTGCATCTGTTTATCAACCCCAAAAAATCATCTCAAAATTTTGCCGAATAAATCATATCAAAAATTTACAAATTATGATCAGTCTATACTTGTAAGTTATAATTGCATCCATATTTTTTAGATTTGCTTATACAGGGTTACTTAAAAAAAATGTTTTCATTGAATAAATCAAGAATCGTAAAACTTAAATGTTGCAGACGTTCTAAGGTTGTTGTAAACATGGTAAATTGTCAATCAAAATATATCTGTTTATTCCCCCCAAAAAGTTGATGACGTTTACTCAAAATTTTGCCGAATAAATTCTACCCTTACTCGTGATATATCATTGCATTCCTACTTTTTAGATGTTAATCTAGACTAATTTAAAAAGTGACAAAAAACCCAAATTATAGACTTTATACAATATTTTTGTTTTTTTTTTTTTGTTGTTGTTGGAAATAAGGTTGGTGGCACCTATTATTTACTGAATATGGTTTTTCATTGAAAAAAAGCCTATAAAGTTGTATCATATATATTTAATGACAATCTTCATTTTACGAGAAACTATATTACAATTCTTATTAAAATTCCTTTTAACACCACGCAAATACTTTTGACAAAAGTGCTTATCTTCAAGCAAAGACTAATTATAAAAAGGCCATAAATATTGCAAAACGTGCCTTCGCTTATACTGCATCCAGATAATATCTGTAGAGATAGGCAGTTTATTAATTGCCTAAGAAATCAAGATTACACTCAGAAATCGATTAAATTTACTTAAATGAATTAAACGGCTACTTTTCTGGTATATTTGAACAAATTATTAAATTAACAGGTTGAAAACATTATACACAACCTAATTAATAACTAATTGTTCCCTTAGTCTGAGAAATTACGAATATTTAATTGTAAATTTCAAATTACTGTGCTATTTTTAAACCCTCAATTCAATTGAGAAGTTATTATTTGTAAATAATAACTTACGAAAACCATCGAACACTTTAGATATATAATAACTAAAATAACAACACCAAAGCACGCGATTCTGCAATACTCTTTTACTAATTACACATCTGGATAACAATGGTCTCCGTTTAAATTATGGAGTCCCTCAGGAGTTCCTCCGGGAGCCACTGCTGTTAATAGTCATGCCACTACCCTGTGTCTGCTTCTAGACTATAAGATATCTGTACCCTAAGACTTCAGATTTCATAAAAAAAACTGCAGTCCGTAGTATACGATTGCGCAAAAACCGCTTCATTCTGCACTTCATTGTTGCACCAACGTGCCATAAATGCAGTCCACCAGCACGCAGGTGTTTTCCGCACATGGCCTCAATGATAATTTTCCCTCATTGTTGTCCGTATAAGCGCGACCATTTGGTGGTCGAATTTTTTGTCGGCGGTAACGTATTGAGTTTTTGGCCACACCTAGCCGGTTGTTACCTTTAAATGGCACACGTTCGCGTACTGGTGCCTAATAAACGCGCGTCG